AGATCTTTAAGGTGAAGTGTTAGGTTGTTTATTTACCATCTTTCCATTCTTCTGAGGTAAGTATTTAATGTGATAAATTTCCCCTTAATACTGCTTTTGCAGTATCCCACTGGTATTGGTATGTTGTGCCATTATTTTCATTAGTTTCAAGAAATTTTTTGATTTCCTGTTTAATTACTTCTTGGACCCATCTGTCTTTAAGTAGAATGTTGTTTAATTTCCATGTGTTTGTATAGTTTCCAGATTTTGTTTATTATTGATTTCTAATTTTAGTCCATTGTGATCTGAAAAAATATGTGGAATAATTCCAATTTTTTTGATTTTGTTGTGACTTGTTTTGTGACCTAACATGTGGTCTATCCTGGAGAATGTTTCGTGTGCTGCTGAGAGGAATGAATATTCTGAAGTTGTTGCATGGAAAGTTCTGTAGATATCTGCCAAGTCCAATTGGTCTACAGTGTTGTTTAGATGTTGTGTTTCTCTACTGATTTTTTTGCCTAGATGATCTGTCCAATGATGAGAGTGGGGTGTTCAGGTCCCATGCTATTATGGTGTTAGTTTCTACCCCATTCTTCAGATCTAATAGTGTTTGCTTTATAAATCTGGCTGCTCCAACATTGGGTGCATATTTATTTATGATTGTTATGTCTTCTTGGTGGGTAGATCCTTTTATCATTATATAGCCACCTTCTTTATCTCTTTTTATGGTTTTTGCTTTGAAGTCTATTTTATCTGTTATAAGAATAGCTACTCCAGCTTGTTTTTCATTTCCATTTGCATGATATATCTTTTTCCATCCTTTCACTCTTAGTCTATGTGTGTCTTTACAGGCAAGGTGAGGCTCTTGAAGGCAGCATATTGTTGGGTCAATCTTTTTAATCCAGTCAGTCAGTCTGTGTCTTCTGAGTGGGGAATTTAATCCCTTTACATTTAGAGTTATTATTGAAAGGTGCTGATTTACTCCTAGCATTATGTGGATTTTTTTTTAGATGTCTTAAGTACCTTATGTTCCTTTCTTTCTAATTTTCTATTTGTCTTCTGTATTCGTTGGTTCCTTGGGGTGATACACTATTTTTTTCTCTTTTGTTAGCATTTTTGTTTTTGCTGGTAAATATTGTTCTTTCTTGAGTATTCATGGCAGTGTTGGTTGTTTTTGTGGTACCAAACCCAGTACTTCCTTTAGAATTTCTCATAGGGCTGGTTGTGTGGTAATGAACTCCTGCAGTTTTTGTTTATCTGAGAAATACACTATTAGTCCTTCATTTTGGAAGGATAACCTTGCTGGGTAAAGTATTCTTGGCTGACAATTTTTGTCCTTTAGTGTTTTGAATATATCGTCCCATTCTTTTCTGGGTTTTAGGGTTTCTGATGAAAAGTCTGATGTTTTTCTGATTGGTGTTTCCTTATAGGTGACTTGATGCTTCTCTCTTCAAGCTTTTAAGATTCTCTCTTTGACTTTGAGTTTTGCCAGTTTGATTATCACATGTTTCAGAGAGAACCTTTTGGGTTGANTTTTTAAAACTCTCAAAAAATAACTCATTTTACCTGCCTGCTTCCTCAACCTCAAGACATGCTGCTCTCATGTTTCCCCTATCAATGTGTATGTATCAAATCCCCAAGTGACAATGTAAGATACGAGTTCCCCACAACCCTTTCTTCCATCCTATGTGCTTCTGGACCCTTGTTGTAGATTAATCTTCCTGTGATTTTGTGATGTGCTGAGACAGCAAACTCATTGCTGATCTTAAAAAGGGCCCATGACAGTAACAAGTGTCAGGGAGGATGTGGAGAAGTCAGAACGCTACACATTGCTGTCTGGAATGTAAAATGGCTCAGCCACTGTGGAAAACAGTCCAGCATTTCCCCAAAATGTTAAATATAGTTACCATATGACACAGTGATTCCACTCATAAGTGTATACCCAAGAGAAATGAAGACACACCACATGTGAAAGACCACAGCAGCATTATTCAGAACAGTACAGAAAATAAAAACAACACAAATGTCTATGAATTGATGAATAAAGAAAATGTGGTATATCCATACAATAAAATATTATTCAGCCATTAAAAGGATGCACTGATCCACGCAAGAACACGGAGGAACCTTGAAAACATAATATTATGTGAAAGAAGCCCATCAACAAAAGGACAATATTACATAATTCTGTTTATAGGAAATATTTAGAAAAAGGCAAATTCATGAAGGCAGGAGGTAGATTAATGGTTTCCAGGGTCTGAAGAAGGGGAAGAATGAAGTACAGGGTTTCTTTTGGAGGTGATAAAATTATTGTGGAATGAAACAATGGTGATGGTTGCATAGTTTTGCAAATGTATTAAAAACCACTGAACTGCACAGTTTGAAACAGTGAAGCTTAAGGTATGTGAACTATTTCTCATAAAAAGAGGGTTCACAGAACCAATAGCCCCACCTTTGGTGGTCAGGGAGATATTCATATAGATGCCCTGGGACAACAGTCCTCTCCCTAGACACAAACATTCCTCAAGGTACAGGGTATTCCAGGGAAAACACTGCTTCTTTTACCCATTGCTTTTTCCTCTCAATGCTACTCATTTCCCATATATTCCATCTTGATAGGGCAATTTGGGAAAGGAAGGGTTGGGCTGGATTTGACTTTCTCTCTGGGACCCGTAGTCAGAGGAAACCACCCTATATCTGTCCCCACTCATTCCCCACATGCCATGTTCTTGGTTGTCTCAGGATGCAGCCATCAAGAGTCTCTATGCCCAGGCTTCTCCCCCCACTATGTGGCCCCAGAGAGGACAGGCTAAGGGCTTCGTATTTCATCCACTCCTGCCCCTCAGACTTTGTGGAGAGACATTTTCTCTTTATGAGTATAGAAGAAAAGCATCTTATCACTTAAACCAGTAGAGATAATGTTATTTTAAACCTGGAGGCTGTCTTATGTGGTGTGGGGTAGCAGATTAATATGCAGTTTCCTCAGCCAGATTATCTGCCTTGAAATCTCACCTGTGCAATTCACAAGCTATATAACCTGGGCCTTGTTTAACCGCTCTGCACTTCAGTTCTGTCATCTATGAAAAGGGGATAACAAATGTGCCTAGTTGCTGCAACATGAATGTAAACAAATATGTATTCTGGCTCAATAAAGGTCAACAATACTAATATTATTATCCCTACAGAAATACCCTGTATATGCAGAGAATAAGGCTCCGTAAAAAACGGCCTTAACAATGGCATCCAAAGAACGGCCTCCCACTCCCACCCTTTTCATTATTTCTTACAGGCATTTGACACCAGCTTCCAGCCCATAAGTCTGAAACCAGTGTGTTAAATGGTGAGATGACAGAGACATGATCCCGACAGCTCAAACAACTTAATTTTCTGTTTCATTTTTACATGAAAAATTAGAAAGCTGCCATTCAAATGGCACCTGCTATTTTCAGTTACTCTTCTCATTGCCAGCATGTTAATAGGGCAAGGTAACTTCTTCACTGATCTTAAGCAACAGAAAAAAATCTAGGCTGGCTGCAAGAGGGACAGGAGGGAGCAGGGAGAACCTCTGCCAAGGTATAGCATTCAGGGGAAGGTAATAGGACCTTGTTCCCCACAATTTGCTGAGACACCCCCTCAGTCTCTC